GACCTCACGATTTTTTCTATGTGCTTGCGTCGTGTCTTTGTACTTGGCTGTTCAACGACTTTTTAGTCGTAGCGCCATCTATGAGAAATCTTTGACAGATTTATCACCCAGTTAGTACCTTTACAGCTACCAGTCCTGGCGAGAGATGTCGCTATTCACTGTATTAATTAAATTTTTATTGAATTGATATTCAATTATTTTTTGTGAAATTACTCGACTAGTTTGTTATAATTATTAATACAAAGATCGACTGTTTCTTGGTTTAATACATGATCACTATGAAAATGTGATTTCTCAGTGTTTGCAAGGATCAAGTGACACTTTATACGTACTTTTCCGTATTTAGCAAAAATGTGTTAACCACACTTGACACATAGAGTAATAATTTTGTTGATATATCGAATTTTGCATAAACCATTTCCATTTAATTACTAATCATAAATTTGTTAACTTAAAAAAACAATAAACTGATCGTAATTAATTACAGATGTTTTGATGTATAATTGCCCTGTAAACTTCATTAATTAAATGAGCAATGACAAATAGTTGCCAAACATCTTTAATTCTCAATATCTCGAAACTGTCATTTTGTGGGTTAACTCATTTATGCAGAACAGGGCCCAAACGTGATAAGGAACCTGAACATGTAAATGATCTGTGATATGTATTTATTTAATAAAAAATACAATTTTTAATTCAGTCTTCACAATAGACTTAGGACATCATAAGAGTCTGTTCACATGAGAAGTTACAACTACATGAATTTTATTCGTAAGTCGCCGTAAATGTTCACATGATGACGGGCGGTGAACGCGCATTAAATTATGATTATTAATTTATTAACACATGCGGCTACTTATGAATATAATTCATGTAGACACGAGCGTGCGTTAACAAAACGCGTTAAAAACCTGAACTGGCACTAAGTCGGCGAAAGGAACTTGTTCGCGGTGTACATCACTTACGCAAGATGTTACATTTGCAAAAATGAACATCATTATGTGACGAACATCGTATGTGCTGAACCGTATATCGTACCACTCGCTATAGTATCGTAACCGAATAAAACCAGGTAAAACGTACGAACTTACTCAACGTGTACTCCAATCGACTGCAGTGGCGGATTTGCCCTAAGGCCACCCTATAATTTGCCCTAGGGTGGCCAATTTGAAGATAACAAGAAATAACTCAAGGTACGTAAATATTCTAAAGGCTCACGCACATTATGGCGGGCCGCACTGCACCGCATCGTATACCAATAATCTTCCTAAATCACTCGTACATTTTATTTATAAAATGTAGATATGTCTACCAGTAGATATATGAGTGCTGAGAAAGGGGCGGCTGGTACTGACTACACGGCAGTGGGCCTACGGTGGCCAAGACTGCAAATCCGCCACTGATCGTCTGCCTTTTTTGTACGTATATGCGTATAGTTCACTGATATATCGATATTGGCGTGACTACGAGCTACAATTTACTATTACTAGACCACAAATACATTGCCCTTAACAATTTGCCTAATGTGACTTACAACAATTACTCAGGAAACGATCGAAATGTGTCGAATTTACTTGTAATGTACCTCAAATTCTGTGGCGAACATCGTAAGTGATGAACAGAGTAAGTGACGAACATCGTAAGTGATGAACAGCGTAAGTGACGAACATTGTAAGTGATGAACAGCGTACGCGACGTACATCGTAAATGATAAACAGCGTTCGAGAAAGACATACTGCAATCCTTGTAAACAATACGCCGTTTACGTAATAAATTTAGAACATGTATAGGGTAGATCGTCCGAGGTGGAAACCACCAATGATACATTTTGTGTTTTTCTATTTTATACATAAGAGGTGAACTACGTGAAGAAAAAATTGTCCGTGGTCCACCGAGTTGAACCGCACGGGCAACAAGCGAATTTGATGATCTGGTAACTTGTTTATTTTTATTGTAATACAAGAAATAATTCCTGCTATAGTCTATATTAAATTTAACGAGTAAAAAGAAAATAAAATTGCACAATGTACTTTTTATGATCTTGGTGCAAGTTATATGAATTTTATATATTTGCCAATAAATAAAAGAGTCAAATGTAATTTTGGTGTTGTAGGAATATTATATTTAGTGCAGTTTTTTGTAACAATCAGTGTTTTTTTATATATTTTCAATAGAGTTTTATTTCCTAGAAAACCGAATCGGTTTCATAATTTTAACAGGATAATGCGTAGTATAGCATTTATTATTCTGCTATGTCTAGGAAGTGCTCGGAGTTTTCTGTGGCCGAATGGAGTCGTTCACTTTTCTGTCGATCCTAGAGATTATGGTAAGTACTTTGTTAGGGTAATGAGAGCCGCCATAGCTTAGTTGGATAAACGCTGCTCAATTTGTATTGCGGCGGAACGTAAGCTAATTTTTGTAACCATATTGTATATAGCATAATAAACTTTATGGTCAAATGTTCGCTCGCGCATTCCGCGGAAGATTTTGGCTTATATCTTGTACAATATCGTTGCAAAATTCTATTTTTTCGTTCCTCCGCAATATAAATTGCGCCTATGACAATACATTTTCAAGATAACAGTTCTGCAACATCAAAATTCAAAACCTAATACGATAGATTGTATTTTCTTCACATAGTACTCCCACAATACTTGTTGAGTAGTAGAATTTACAGAAACTTTCAAGCAATAGAGCTCCTTGCATTTGTTTACAACAAATGTGAGGGCAAAAGTATTGACCATTTTCAAGCGACACTCAATACAATACAATAAAGTTGAAATCGCTTTATTTTTTTCTTTGTTCAATACTTAAGATGGCTGTCAAAACCAAAAGGTAGGTAGGCTGATGGTGTCAGACTGATCCAGCCATTAGTAGGTACTAATGGGTCCACTCAAAAAACTTGATACTACCTCTGCTTGAATTCAAATTATTCCGTTACTAATACGGTTCATTTTTGCTTGGGTCGAACGGCAGGGCCATTGGCTTTATCTCAGAATTTATTATTTAACGAATGAAAGCGATTTGAAAAATGTATATCGTATTATGTGTTCTGTTTAGTTCAGTTGATATAGAAAAAATCTTTGGTAATGTACAGTCTTAAACATGAGATTCCTGACACTAGCCAACCTACCTTTTGGTTTTGAGATCCATCTTACGTATTGAACAAAGAAAAAATTAAAGCGACTTCAACTTTATTGCATATGCAATACAGTGGAGTGTCGCTTGAAAAAGTTCAAAATATTTTTAAAACCTATACTAAATTTCAAAGAGTCATATCAAAATAAATTTTACGGCTCACAAGTTAAAGATTCAAGTTCATTTAACAATTTTCTCCAAATTTTTATTTTTTGTAAACTGACTCCACTAGTTTGTTATAATTGTTATACCAGTACCGTAAATTCGAAGTTCTATGAAGAAAATTGTAGCGCTGTAATGTATCGCCAAAACAATCTTTCAAATTTGTGGTTTAAAATGTGACAGTTTGTGACTGTATAAAGGGTTTTTCACCAAGAACTCTGTTTTGTAAATCAAAATAAACCAATAGATTTAGATGCCAGTGATTCAAATTTTTATTGTATCAAAAAAAGCAAGGTTTGGCAGTTATGAATGAAAAATGATATCTGATAAATGTCCACCACGACCACAGTTACAGATTTCTATTCTTTCATCAAAGTTTTTAATCACATTTTGACAAAATGGTGGATCTATATCGTATACGTCACGAATTTTGAGGTTTAAGGCTGCAATCGATTCGACTGGCTAATAATCCAGCGGTGTCAAATCACATGAAATTATGCGATCGGGAAATTTGGTTTGCAATAAATTCATTGTTTCGGTGGCTGTGTGACTGTGTGTGATCAAGCACACGACTTGTTCGTTCGTCGTCACATGATGTTTTTTAAAAAAGCTATGACCTATTTTTAACCGGCTTCAAAAAAGGACGAGGTACTTAATTCGGCTCTATATTTTTTTGTATGTATATTGCGCGATAACTCTGAGATTATTGTGTACCGATTTCGTTGGTTATTCTTTTGTTGGAAAGAGGGTACCTCATTATAAGTCTCATTTAAGTGTCAGGTATCTTGTAATGACTGTACCTATTCAACACAGCGGTTTTCTTGAAAAGTTTTGAGGTAGTTTGTGTTTTTTTCTTTAATTTTAGTATAGTATCAATGTCTAAAGTATTTGATTAAACACTTATGCGGAATCAGCCGCGGAAGATTTCTGTCACACGAATTCCTACACAAAAACTCTACTGCTACTAAATACGATATTTACAGAACAGAACAGGTTTCATTTCTAGAGCAGTTCCTATTAAAGAATCGTTTCCTCCTAGATTTCCATTCGGAAGATATAATAACCGCAGCGCTGACACGCATAGAGCGAGAAATCTGCATCAAGTTCTTCAAGCTGCCACTCAACTACACCATGAACGCCGTGAACAAGCTGGAGAAGTACATCTTCATCTCGAATCCGGATAAGAACAAAGAATGTCCGCCGGTTCATTACAATTTCTCTGGGACCGTAATTGTAAGGGGATTATATTATTGGCATCTAAACATTAAGTATGTCACCACACATTAGTACATTTGCGAACTGCATCCGATATCAGAGATCTAAAAACTCTGATCCATACTTGTCACGGCTTCATTACTCCACAATGTCTGCGGATATTGTAGAGTATATACGATGGAAAGCCAATGCTGTCCTGAGTTGTGTATCCATTTGTGATGAGAGTACCAACACATCACAATGTCGGTACATGACGCCCTTCGGCCAAAACGTCGACGTATGTTTCCGAGGCCGGCCACCGGATACCCGCGTTGCGTCACGCGTCGCAGACATTACGTGTAAATAAATAATTAGTAATTAGTGTTTTATTCTTGCAGTGCCACACAGAGCTTTAAATCCCAAAGATCTGAGGGGCACTGCCGCTGCCCTCGTCACCCTGAGATTTAAGTTGACAAGTCTCATGTACCCTTCAAAACCGGAACGCAGTAATGCTAATATTACTGCGTTCTTGGCTTAGCAGCAGAAATAGGTAAGGTGGCAGTACTTTTATAAGGGGCTCTACTGCTGCTACTATAAGGTGTAATATTTATTGGTATTTGTCATTGACTTACAAATAAATGGACGACGGGTCTAATACAAAAACCACGAAAAAAATGTCCCAAGTCAACCTATTTAAACGTAGTGACATGTAAAGGAATATGAAAAAGCTTTACTGTCTAATTTTGCTTGCTTCGCTGTCAGTCAAACAAACGAAGACTAAAACGTGAATGACGCTCTGTATACGATTTTAACGCCCTATAAGGTCGGACACTTTTTAGCGCGGACCCGACGTCCATATAATTGTAAGTCAATGGTATTTGTAATCTGAATATAAATTAAAAAAATTAAATTATTCTGGCCGGTTAATTGTGGTGATTCCCTAATTTCATGTTAATTTTAACAGGACTTCCCCATCGGTTACAATTGCCTTACTGCAAAAGATATATCCGTCAAGGTTGTCGACATGCTCAAGGCCACATTCAGGCGTAGCAACGGTAAGACCCTTTTCTTTATCGTGTCATTTGTCACAAGTGAATCTGACCACGGTCCAATCATCTTTGTGTCATAGGTACTTAAGTATATTACACTTGAAATCGCCATACTGATTAAACTCTACTGGTCATTCGTAAGGCAGATTCCCCTGAGAAGAAGGAGCAAGAAACTCTAGGGGTTGCACTTTTGAATACATTTATCATTACAATCATTGACTTACAATTATATGGACGTCGGGTCCGCGCTAAAAAGTGTCCGAACTTATAGGGCTTTAAAGTCATATACAGAGCGTCATTCACGCTTTAGTCTTCGTTTGTTCGACTGACAGCGAAGCAAGCAAAATTAGACAGTAGGTACTGCGATGACATTACAATTTAAATTCAATGTTTTAGCTTTTTCATATTCCTTTACATGTCACTACGTTTAAATAGGTTGACTTGGGACATTTTTTTCATGGTTTTTGTATTAGACCCATCGTCCATTTATTTGTAAGTCAATGATTACAATATTTAATTTAAACATCTTAGATCGAGAATACCTTAAAGAACTAGACGGGTCACTACCACAGAATTTTGTCATCCAAGTATCTACGCAGAAGTTGTATATATATATAATAACCTTTAGGATAAAGCTTTTGTTTCACAATAGTTTTAAACCTCCCAAATGGCAAATTTTCAATATCAATCGGGATCTTATTATAGAAACGTATATGAATTTGAGACTTTACATAGACGACCGTCAAGAACAGCTAGTTTATTTTTATTCCTCGTATTAATGTTATGTCTGTCACTATTTTTCATGAAAAAATTCATATTTTCCTTAACATAAATAACATTGTCATATGTAAATGTACTGTGACGCTAGTGTAAGAATGTTATTTTCCTTATACTTAACTCTCAAAGTCACTATTGAGGCCCAGATTGTAAATTTCCCTAACCGCACGTTTCTGCAGGGCAAAGGGGCGTATTCCAGAACTCTACTCAATGCTCAAGTCAGGATTTGAGCAGACTTGAGTATGATTTCAAGCACTGGAAATACGACCCTAATGGCAAGGACTTGAGTATGATTTCTAGTGCTTTGAATCATACTCAAGTCCTACCTTGAGCATTGAGTAGAGTTCTAGAATACGACCCAAAAGATTCTATAGTTATATAGATTTTATATTCAGAGACTTTGCTAAACAAATAGGAAAATATTAAAACCGATCTGTCCTATTCCACGTGGTTTTTTTTTTATAATTTGAACAGGGGAGATAGTTTCTCTGATTTTAACAAGGATGATGGTTGTTGGGACAGACACGTATTCTGTTCAGTAATATATAAACGAACCATAACGAGTCCATATAACTCTACTCCCACCGGCTTTTCCTTAATAATACTGAGTACAGCAGGCTTAGCATGATCCCGAAGACAAAAGTTATCTCTTCTGCGATGACAGTCCCAAGAAGAGATAACTTTTGTCTTCGAGAGAAAATTGACATTTCGAAGAAGAGATAACTTTTGTCTTCGGGCTCATGCTAAGCCTGCAGTAGCTTCCCGATGGATCTTGGCCAGTTCAGCGCGAGTCAAGCCGGCCTTAAGTGTTGCCAATTCGCCTTTTAACGGAAAAAGTAGTTTTTGTTAATGTGCTTAGGTGTTTTTTGTTCTACACCGGTTTTACTAACGACAAATGTCACGCCTCGCCACTGTGACGCACTGCAGAAACAATATGACAACCTCAACGACGCCCTAAAGGCGTTGTTATAATAATAATACCTACTTTATTTCTGACCAAAAACAATTATCCATAGTAAAGAACTTAGGAATAAGGTTAGTATGATGCTATTCAAATGTTAAAATTAAAATACAATAAATTATAATTAAAATCCAAAAACTATACAATCACGAATAATTACAACATTAAATATAAATTGAAATTATTTAAATATAAAATTGAAATTAATATAACACACATAAATAAACTTAAACTGGGCCTGGATAGGGTAATCAATTTTATCCGTCACAACTTTCAGAATGCTGTTGGGGCACCCACGCATAAGTCGCCAAAGTGAAGCAACATGCTTCCTCAGATTGGCGTGAAAGCCTTGCGTGTCTCAGCGAACATGCCTGAAGCGCTATAGTATCGTGGTAACCCCAACAACATCCTAAACGCGTTGTTATATTGTACCCTCAGCATATTTAGGGTCACCTTATTATACTTCACCCACAGGCTACACGTGAAGATTTGACAGTACGCTTTAAAAAGCGTTAATTTAACCTCCCCACTACAACGTGCAAACCTCCGGGCGAGCTTATTTGATCTTACTGCAAGGGCACTCCGTTCTATCTCTTTATCTACCAGATAGGACTGATCACGTCACCCAGTGATCCAGGTGCCACAAAGGGAGACCGGCGGTACAACGCCCACTTCCCCACCTCGCAGCTTAAGCACTAGGAGCTCATTTTTCTTTGCATTATACCCGAGTCCCTGGGCAACAGCATAATTTTCACATATCTTAAGTAGCTCACAGAGGGCACATATTGATGGGCTCAGTAGCACCATATCATCTGCATAGCTGATATTGTTAACTATGACGCAATCCAACGAGCAGCCAACATTAGTACTGCAGAGCTCACCAATCAATGCATTTACACACAGGTTGATGAGCTTAGGTGACGTTAAACCTCCCTGCCTCACCCCACATCCCAACCCGTATGGTTCCGACAGCGACCCGGCCCACTTAACATTGTTGATCTGGTTTCGACACCAAAACTTGAAAAGCCCAATAACCTCAAACGGGAGATTTGTCTCACAACTCGGCTTATGTCATAACACGTCATACAAGACCGTATCGAAGGCCTGAACAGACCAAGGAAGCACGCTTACACTGGCGTACTTCTGTCTGTGTAATACCGAACAGTATGCTTGAGGCAAAGCAAAGTCCAGGCCTGAACCCGAACTGCGCATCATGAATTTTCAGATGCTTAGTTAAAATGCAATCAAGCAAACCGTCCAGTGCCTTAACAATGATAGTGGCCAACGATATAGGTCTGTAGTTGTTTTTGTCAGACACGTCTACCGTTTTGTTCTTAACAAGAAGTACCAACATCGTCTGCATCAAACCGTCAGGTAGGTGCGAGTGCCTCAAACAAAGATTAAATAATTGAGACAAAACTCCCGGCAATCGTTCACCCGCCTGTTTTAAATTCTCTACACTCAAGTCATCACGCCCAGGTGACTTCCCTTTCGTCATTCTCTTAATGATAGATGCCACGTCGTCAGCAGTGAATTGAGAGATAGATGGGGCACCATAATAGGAAGTTTCTCGCACCCACCCGTGATCCGGCGGCTCACGGGGCTCGACTTTGAAATGCTCCATGAAAAGGTTTGCAATATCCTACGCCATCAACACACCCAATTCCTTCCCAAACTTATGAAAGTTCTTCGACTCATGATGTGATGCCATTATATCCAACTTAATTGGTTCCATTGGCACCACTTTAATTTAGCCTTAAATTTGTTCTTAGTGACTTTATACGTTCATATGTAAGGGGCTAAGGTCCTGAGGGGGCTTATCCATCAACACCCAATCCAGGAAACTTATATAAAGAGCGTAATTTTCACTGCAGCAGTAGGTACATTTGGTGAACCTGCAAGCGATCACCGATAGTCCTCTGCGCTTGCACACTATATAGGTACCTCACCTCGCTCAATAAAACCGATATGAATGAATAAAAACAACAACTATTAAAAATTTTTTTAATAGTTGTTGTTTTAATTTAGTCTAATTTCTATTAATAATTAATAATAAATTAAACTTAATAAAAAATTCATTCAATAAAATAATTTGTAAAACTTAATGTAGCGTAAATTGGAATGTTTTCTTTGTAAAATTAAAAATAAGGTATTTAATTAATAACTATTATAACTATAGTGAAAAAATAGGGTGGTTTGCATCAATATTAGACATAACTGGTTGAAGACTGTACTACCTCAGTCAACCGTGACCATGGGACCTGTAAAGGGCCCGAAACGTCGGTTTGTTTGATAAAACAAATATACGCGATTTAAATCCGGAAAAATAGTTTCATTCCTATGTATAACAATCGCGAAAACCTAAGAACTCGATAACAACTATTAAAATTATGCAATTGCAAAATTATAAAATTGCACTTGACTATTACATAAATTGAAAGTAATTATTAATTAAATATTTACATAAGTAATTATAAATCATTGCGATGGTATTTTTATTTACGTAAGAGTGATCTGACTTTGGGAGAATCTTGTAACACTGTTGTTTTTTCTTGCAGTGGATAGACAAATTAATAGCTACGATTTGCTAAAAGAATTTGGCCACCACGTGAGTATATTGATTGGTGTAACAAACCTAAGTACAGTCTTGTTTGTACATAGAAAAATTCGTCGTCACGCATACCCCGCTGCGGGTAATGGATGACGCAGCGGGTTATGTGGAACCAGGGGCCCACCTCGCGTTACGGGAGAAGCCCCAGTGCATTTGGGTATCTATCTAAAATAACATGACTGTGCTGTTTTATGTAACAAAGCAATGCAATGTACCTACGTTTACCCATCATCGGATATATCTACAGTGTTTTTTAATTGGGACAGTATGGGGAAATTCGAAACAATCGGAGACGGGAAACTGTCTTATGAACCATCAAGTTTTTGTGAAAACAATTTTGGCATAGTAAATTTATTGGTCAAGCGTGTGTTGTCCATAAAAATGAACAAGGTTGATTTTTTTAATGCTGATCGACTCGGTGTTATGTAAGGATCATTGTAAGTATTGGAAGAAAAAGTCGGGACAGCAGAAGCTGGTCAAATTTAATTAAATGTATTTTGTATGAAAAACCTTTTTATTTAATTAGACCTACTTCCGTCCCGATTTTTTCTTCCAGTACAATAAAATGGTCCTTACATGAAACTTAGTCTATCAGCATTCAAAAAAATATTAGTAAACTTTTTTCATTTTTATGGATAACTCACGTTTGACTAAAAAATTACTGTATTAAAACTGTTTTCACAAAAAAAGAATTAACTGTCTCACTTTAAAAAACACTTTATCAGATAGAAAGAAATTAATAAGATAATATTTAGACCCCGCCAAAGAGTAATAATTAAATATCTCCATATTGACACGGACATATGTACACACCTTGTAATACCCATCACAATTAATTAATATATTCCCAGGAACCCAACAATGACGAATATTTAATATCGGCCTCCGATCGCAACCTAATCAACACGCACTACTATAACGAGTGCGGGGCACTGTATCAAAGTTTAGTCCCGCCCCCGAAGCGCCGCAGCAACGACCCCGACCAGCCTATATCACCACTAACTTTCAACTACTACGATAAATTTACTTGGCCATTGGGGGTCATTATGTACACCGTGGTTCCTGAATTACGTAAGTAACCCTACTCAAGCAACTCATTTAGTCTCGCTCCCGAAGTACCGACGACCCCGATCAAATATTAATAAAATAATAAAATAAAATTCATTTATTTCGGGCAGCAAAAACCCATATTATAGACAATACATTCACTACATATTACATTATTATTACCTGAAATTTAATGCATAATAAAAATAAAATTTACAAAATATTACAAAACACAAACTATCATTATAAAATTATTTAACTTATGAACTAAGTGTTTGAAACAACATGCAGGCGACAAGCTTGGTTCATATATGGACAGTCGAACCTGTCCGCAATCATGCGCATGATGGTGTTGGGGCTGACCCGTACCCTACTCACCAGTGCCAATGCGCGTTTGCGCATGGTTGAGTAAAAACAGTCTACGTGAGCCGCTGCGAACATGCCCGAGGCGCTGCAGTATCGGGGCAGCCCCATCAACACCCTAAACGCATTATTGTGTTGGACACGGAGGGCCCTATATGCCTTCTGAGAGTACGTCTCCCACAGGCTGCATGTGTAGAAGGAAGTGCAAAATGCAATATATTGCATCGCTCAATAACTCACAGTATTAAGCATTCCCAATTAATTTTCTCTCGCTCCAGAAGTATCGGAGCTACGATCCCGACCGGTCTGTATCGCCACTTACTTAACTACTACGCTAAATTTATCTAGCCTTTAGGTGTTATTATGTAGGTACGCAGTAGTTCATGAACTACGTAAGTAACCATAGTCTGGCAACTCATTTAGTTTCGCTCCCGAAGTACAGTCGGCACCGATCAAATTGTATCGCATGTTGTCGCAAATTTACTTGACTTCTAGGGATCATTTCGTATAATGGTGTAGTTGGATACTTCTTTAAGTATTATTAAGAATTTCCAATTAGTTAAGGCTCGCTCCCGAAGCGCGCCGTAGCGACGACTCCGACTAATCTATGTCACCACTGATTTTCAACTACTACGATTCATTTACTTGGCCATTGGGGGTCATTATGCGCACAGTAGTTCCTGAAGTACGTAGGTAACCATAGTCTAGTAACTCATTTAGTCTAGCTCCCGAAGTACCGACGACCCCGATCAAATTGTATCACCCAATTGTTTTTCAATACTACGATAAATTTACTTCACTTACAATTAAATATTATCTTTCTAATTGTCGTGTCCACGGCTACGGTAATTAGACCTAATTACCGTTTCCATAAAATATTCCTGTCTCAATAACTCGAAAACTACTTTGTCATTATTCTGATGCCATTTAGACATATTGAGAGTTAAGCTTAAAGTTGGTCGTATTTCAATGTTAAATGGTAAATTAAGCGAGAAAAAACAAGGATTACGGTAATTAGGCTGAGGACACCGAAATGGCTACGGTAATTAGGCTAAGAACACCGAATGTGAGAATGGCCGATAAAAGAGCTGCGGTAAGGGCGGAGCAGCTCAGTCTGGATCCAGCAGCACAGTAGTGAATGACTTTTAGAGAATACTTGTGAGCTTGTCAGTTTGAATACGCTATCAAATAAAGTGAACTGAAATTGAGATCGGATTTTATTTACACAGCCACACAAATTACACCCAAAGTCATGAGATAAATAAATGTAGTACAAATATTTCTCCCAGTCCGGGCATCGAACCCGGGACCTGAGCGTGGCATCCAGTATCCAGTATTCGGTCAACGGTATCCTTTCCAGGTAGACTTTTTAGAATAATATTATTTTATGCGCAGGCGGCACGGCAGACCACACGGCCCTGAAGAAAGCAATAACAACGATTGAACTATCCTCTTGCGTGGTATTCCAATTCATTGATTTGACAGGAGAAGTCGTTCTGGTCCCAAAGAATGTCCTCGTCTTTGATATCAGGGGACAGGACATTCCTAGTTTCGGATTTGTTGAAGGCCAACAGGTATATGATAAAATAAAATATTATTTAATTCTCAATTTATTGCAATTGCTGCAATTGGTAAATCAGTTTGTCCCATTACGCTAATGCATGCTTGTGTTAAGAAAGCCTTGCAAAGTCTCTAAACTTAAAACTGAGAATTTACTTATTCATGAAAATCGATTCAAGTGCATAGGATCTAACGATTGTTTTTCATGTCGATTTATTTCAAAACATGTAAGCAAGCTATAAACATTTTGGAACAATATCAATACTTTCAATTTGTTTTTAAGGGAATTTCATTCGATCGGCTTGGAGCAGAATTTTTCTAAATGCGAATTATTTATAGATAAGTTCGCAAATGAGAGCCGGAGAGTTGATATTATTTCAAAATTCAATATTTTAACTCCCATTATTCATATCGTCGTACCCTCCGCCTGCTGCCGTAGTCGATGACCCGATCCCAACTTTGATAAATGACCCGCAGCTTGATTTTGATTCAAATGGAAATCGATCCGATCGGGTAGTCTCGAAATCAGATGGGTTTCTGAGCGAGAAGATGAGCCTGATTCCTACTATATCTTTCTAATTTGTGAGTTAAATAAACTATTGTTCCCATTTGAAATGTCAAAAGTTTCCGTTCGGCCCGTTGTGGATCGCAATTATGCGCCTCGACTCGGAAGAGATGCAGAGATGGAGCACACTACACTCGTCCAACACTAGAGGGGCGCGGTGTTCTAGCGCGCCCCACCGCGCTAGAACACCGCTCCCCTCTTAGTCTTAGACACCCCCGTGTCCGCTACCGGGGCCCCATTTACGGAGGCAGCTGGTCAGCATACGCTCTCCTTCTACGTCCGATTCTCCTGCGGCGGATCGGATCCGGGGCGGAAACTTCCCGTTCTCGTTCCGGCGCCTCCTTCTGAGCCATCACAACCTCGCAGAAGGTTGCGACAGTGTCCCAAGACCTCTTGCTCTCAACCACAGAGCGAACTACAGTTGGGAGGAGATCATTTCCTACAATGGCGACCAGGGCATCATGCTGCTTTGTCCATGCAGGGCACTCCTCCAACGTGTGTTGGGCTGTCTCCTCAAGGCAGTTGTCACAGTGGTGATATTTTGGAGTCGGCTCCTTTCCTGCGATTCGCCACAGGTACCTCCCAAAGCAATCGTGACCCGAGAGTACCTGGTCATGCGGAACGTCAGGACTCCGTGCTCCCTGCTTAACCATTCAGACAATATAGGACGAACTGCCTCGACGGTCTTAAAGCCAGCGCTGGGTTGCCACTCCTCTAGCATTAATTGGTGCAGCTCCGCTTTACAGACCTCCACCTCCCTAGGAGGCAGACAACAGTACGATCACATGTGGCTTTGTTATACCGTGGGCACGATATTCTAAACAATATTTCAGACATTAAGACTAGCAGATATGGTGCACGGCTGCCGTGGGCACACAGCTCACACGTTGAACACGTTATTCCGGATTCTGGGAATACCGATGACGTCGAATCGGTTTGACCGAGACAACTACATTCATATCAACTGGAAGAACGTTATTAAAGGTACGAAAGGTAAAGAAACAAAAAAAACAATGTAAGTGCCCTAGGGCTCGATTACTGTCGGAACCGCTGTGGCAAAAACTCACACAAACAAAATGATAAACATTCCGAAATCTTGAAGATGATTGGTCATACTTTCTTATTTAAAAAGATGTAACAAATTCTGGATTGTTAATATGATTTAAATTTTGCCCAGTCGTTATTTCGTTGAAAGTTCAATACCTTTGTTGCAAGACACGACGTTTGGATTTTACATTGAAATTTTATTCAATGTGCTGCCATCTTGCGGCCAATAGCTGGACTACGACGAACTATTAACATCTTAATCAATTCGATAAACAGAAAATTTAAAATTTATTAGAATAAGACTTACCGGTGATTTTAAATACTACTACAGGTAATATTTTTGGTGCAGCTACCATCATTGCACTCCAAAACAGCACGATAAGGCATTTTTCTACAAATTTTGAGAATTTGCGCGAAAAAATGACATAATCGTATCATACAAAGCGTAAATGGCGAACTGAGCTCAAAGAGGTCTTTCGAAACCTATAGTTGGCACGCGTAGGACGCTTGTTAACGAAATTGTAATTTGTAATAAGAATAAACGAAAAGTGGACTGTAATTTTAGCTGGTCGGACAAAACGTAAATAGCAATATTTTTGATCTCGGATGACCATATAAAACCCACCTACCTTTAATCTCCTTGTCTTCGGCTCCTCCGGTATGATATGGTGGATGACGTCACCGCTATTCGTTGGCTACTTTTTGGAGCTCCAAAGGTCCACCGTCACAATCATTCACCAGTAGACACCAACACGACACCAAACAGTCAATAATAAAAATGATGGATGAATGAGAGGGAATGCACATAAAATATCACTCTGTCAAGCCCGAAGTCGAGAGAGTTCTGGCGGGCGGCCTCCCGAACCAATATAAGAAAAAATGCAGGTGAGATTATATTGCGATCCAGCGACTTATTATAAAACTACCTACATATTGTCCGAGCGCAGATTATTATAAAAGTTATGTGTTAAGGATGTTTACACATTTACGAACAACGCTAACTGATCATTTCTACTGTATTTATTGTTCTGTTGTTACTACGTAACAGATACATCACTTTCTTACAAAATCGAATATATCTACGCTATAATAGCCTACTAAATTTAACTAATGACCATGGGTCGGAAAAAGGTGTTCCAATTATATAGATATATGTATAGACATAGCTACTAGGAGCGATAAAGAGTTATTATTATGTTATTATAGTTTCCATCAGCGGACCACCCGTGCCGGACTGCGTTGCCACAGTTGGACGGTCAGTTCAATACCGTCCCGCACTAAAAAGTTTGGCAATTCGTTCTTATGCCGAACCATCAAATTGTGGAACCAACTCCCGGCGCATGTATTCCCTCCCCTCTATAACATCGGGTCCTTCAAACGTAGTGTGAAGAAGCATTTGGCCAGACCGGCAAAATGATAGTGACGGAGTGAAGATATTTGTGTTTTCCATCCGTTACTCTCATCTCTGGACTGTATTCGCACTTTCCATCAGGCGCGGTGCAGTCATTTTGCCGAGTCACAATAAAAAAAATAAAAATAAAAATGAAAACCACCAAATATTACTTAGTTTTATCGAATTCCGGATTTCCGGAAATGGTTTTACTGCATCGTAAAACAAACTATTGTCCTAGGCAGTCGAAGTTGGATTTTAAAGTAATTTTAATGGTGTCATGTAAAAAAATGCAGCACATAACTGACTTGTTGCCGTTCCGTCAATGTGACCGTGAATGTGCGGGGCCCAGTGCGGTATCTAATGCTAGGGAGGGGCGGAGAGTGAACATTTTCATTACTTTTTTATTGTCTGCTTTTGGTATAAGGTCCGTCATCTACTGCATTTTTGTACATGGCACCATTAAAATTACTTTAAATTCCTAAGTAGTTTTGTCTTACGATGCAGCAAAACCATTTCCAGAAATCCGGAATTCGAGAAACTACTTAATTAATGTTTGGTGGTTTTTACAACTCTATTGCGCTCCTTGTAGCTATATCTAAACGTGTATCTATATAATGAAGAATACCTTTTTCCGACCATTGCTAATTACACAGGCGCTCACTACGATGAAAAAGGAACCTAAGCACGCGCTCAGAGAGGTAAAAATAACGTTACCCTCCGTGTGCAGTCGTGCAGAACCGAATACAAGGATTGTAATGCAAATGAAAGACTTGTCTGCGCGCTTGCACTGTCGGCGGTAGGTACTAATCACGTGACCTCGAGCGAGTGAATGACGGAGCCCTGGTACCTAAAAGCTAAGTGTGGTGTATCTGCTTAGGAGATATAATACATTATCTCGCGCACTGGTGGCATCACAGAACAATAAATAGGTACAATAGAAGTGCTTAGTACGCGTGACACGTGCGCCAAGTCCGCCATTTTTGTTTTGCAGGTTATGGTTGAGTCAATTATCTCACGTAAAACCTAGAAAATCGGGGAAAAATGCATTGTTTTGCAATTTTGGAATGCAAAAAGGGTGGTCGAACTTGTGATATTAAAGTATAAGTATTTAAGTATTATATTTTTCAACGCCCTGCGCGTTCAGTACAACAACGCGTTCAGGGTTTTATTGGGTTTGCTACGGTACTGCAGCGCATCAGGCATGTTCGCGGATGGTTTCCATGCTATCCTTAGAAAGAGAGCTGCCTCATTAATAAGTCGTATCCGTTGCGGCACGAATGAGATTCTGCGCGTTGTGGCTGGTAGAGTGGATTGCCCGATCATGCTACATTGCATGAAACTGCATTTAAAACCATGTCGATGAATTATTTGATATTTAATTTAATTTGTTTAATTATTCTATGTTTTTAAGTTGCCTTTTGTTTAATTTAAATTTGTTTTATTGAATTATCTAAGCTAATATTATAACTGTAAAATATGGACTGTAGTTGTCTGAGAATAAATGATTTTTGATTTGATTTGATTATCTATGGTGGTGTTTTGTATCTTTATTAAGTCTTATTATATTTCATTCTCATAAATTTCCCATTTTCTGTTTCTCGTAATAATTTGTGTGTTACTAGAAACGAAAGTAAATCTTATACTGCTGCAATATGGTCACTTCTTTTTTGGACAAATAAGTAAACATCTCGAATTCATCGTCATTCAGCAATTAACCGCTAGATTATAGAACATTGAATAAAATTTCAGTATAGAATCAAAACGTCGCAACTTGCTATAATAGGTATTGGACTTTAAACGATATGTCAACAGGGTAAAGTTTAAATTATAAGTATTAACTGTCCAGAATGTGTTACATCTTTCTAAATTAGAAATTACGGCCACTCATTATCAAGATTTCATATTGGTTAACATTATGATAGTGTGGGTTTTGGCGACAGCGGTTCTGATAGTAATCGAGGCTTACAGCTTCTTGCATTGATTTTTCTTCCGTGGGACAATCCAATTCATTAGATTAAGTCGAATTTATATAAAATAGTATAACAGATGATGAACAATTTAATTATTGAAATTGAAAATAATCCAATGTTAATTCAGTTGACAGTCTCACTCAGAGCGATTACACATAGCAGCGTTGCAAACGCGATACACATTTTTAATTAATTAACTAATTTATTTATTTAATGTATTTATCATTTTATACTAGAAAATTTATAGTGTAATTAATTAGTTCTCGTAATTTGTAAAGGCGAAATGGGGATGGCCCGTGTAAAGTATATGGTGACCGACCGGTTTCGCGAGTGTGGAATACACGGCTCGATGCTTAATGACTGTACGAATTTTTATTGTGTTCGGATGTACTAAATAGTTTAATTTTTTCATGAAATACCGTGTCCTACTATACACAAACAAAATAGTTCTTCAAATGTTTTTAACATGGTCCAGGGTTTTAAACAATAGTGTTGAAAAATATGGTTGTATTCTTCAAATTTGCGGAACAATGCTGCCAAGCTTTTGTACCAAACTAAAAAAAATCAATAAATCACGAAGACTATTGCTGAATTGGTTTTTTAACTGACATTGCGTCTTTGTAAATTCTGTGTTTGAAATATTTTTAAAACGAGCAATTTAGTGCAAGTTATGTAAGTTAAATTTAAACTTCCACTATATTACGTGGATGAGAACACGATAAAACAAATCGCACATGAAATCAAATACAGTCGTAACTCAAAATTGTAGAATTAAGAAAACACGATTTGAAAGATCAAAAAATTTGTGTACGAAACCACTAAATTTATATTATTTTCGTTTATGAATGGATAAATAAAAATTGTGTAAAATAAAAATAACCACATTATTCGCAATAAAGTCCATTCAGTATTTTTTTTCAACTTTCAAATTCAATTTTCTAAATTCCATCAATTTTTGAGTTACGACAGTATTTGGTATAATATATATTTTTTTCTTTATAATATCAAGTGACGGGACATGTTGTATTATATGTCAATATCATTGACTTACAAATAAATGGACGACGGGTCTAATACAAAAACCACGAAAAAAATGTCCCAAGTCAACCTATTCGAAATTTAAATTGTTATGTCATCGCAGTATCGCGCTGTCAGTAAAACAAATGAAGACTAAAGCGGAGTGTCGCGCTCTGTATACGATTTTAGCGCCTTACAAGTGCGGACACTTTTTAGCGCGGACCCGACGTCCATATAATTGTAAGTCAATGGTCAATATGGTCTAATTAGGTACATGCTAGAATTAAGTGTGTGAAATAAATATTAAGCGTAAGGATTTGAGTCAAACCAGCTATGGTTTTTACAATACAATACAGTGTGTTAAATAAAAAAAAATAAAAAAATATGCGATGCGATGCAATCGCGCGTTTGCATCGCTGCTAAAGCCGTGTGTAACCACTCTTATATCAACAGGCAAAGAACATGTATTAGAAAAAGTACCTGAAGAAGCCTTCGTGCATTACATTCCATACGAATTCGAGAGCGTAACACATGCACCTGCTAACTTTATGTGTCAGAACTGTGACTTAGGTGCCAACACCGTCGAGCCTATTCAGGTAATATCTTTTATAATAATAATAACATCATTGGTATTTTTCAGTCAAATAACTCGAGTTTTATTTGATCCGGTGGGACTTAAACCCACGATCATGCTGCACCTTAGCATTGCTCTTACCAACACGCACGCACCCCTCATGGAAGAATGGCATTAGTGGAATTACGTCAAACATGTTTATTGCTCCATTATATACTGAAAAACATAACCCATATCCTAGAGGTGGTATTTCCCGGCAATGGCACAGTCGGCCGGGGTCAGGGATTCAGGTTCAAGAACCGGCGAACAGTGACCGCCTTCTGCATCTATGCTGGAAGCGACACGCCATAGAAGTCCAACCGCCTCAAGCTGTTAGAAAGGCTGACTGGAATTAACCCATAGGCGGATAAAACAATTGGGATTATTTCGTCGAGATACTTCTAATTATTATTATTATTATAATTTTCTAGGACCTTCTCTGGCAGCGTACGCTTCTCATGGGTCACCGTACAGTTCTCGCTAATTCAGATGTATTGATGCTGCGTCTTGTTTATGGGAGGGAGTGCGTCAAGCGCAATGGCAACACCGTTAGTGATGTAAGTGTACAAACGTAGAAGTACAAATGCATATTATAGGTCTTTTCACTTTGGAATCTGAAACTCGAGACCAGGGTGTCTACTCTCGCTCTATGTTCAGTACAATTATTGTCAAATATGTAATACTGCCGTCCGCGAATCTAAAGCTAAGTGACAAAATAATTTATTGAGATGTGATAAAAAAATCATAACCCAGTTTTAGAATATTTAAATTGTTTAATATTTGAGCTATGCATCGTTAGTGTAGGTTCCGATAAATGGAACAAGTTAGCAGTTTTTAAAAGAAAATTTTGTGCTCTTTTTTTAACCGACTTTAAAAAGTAGAAGGTTCTCAATTCGACTGTTTTTTTTCCACATATAATACAACTCGAACTAGAATGTTATAAAAAGCCGACGCATGCAGCCACAATGTATTAGATATAAAATAAATAATTTCCATATCCTAAAATAAATAAATAATAATAAATAAATAACGCACACACTCAACATAGCCCCGCACTAGGGAAACCCTGTGTCGCGGGTACCATGGACACACACATAGACAACCACAAATTACACCCAAACTCACGAGAGAAATAAATGTAAGCCATACAAACATTTCTCCCGGCCCGGGAATCGAACCTGGGACCTCTGCGTGGCAGTCCGGCATGGTAACCGTTCGGCCACGGAGGCAGTTTAGTTTAGTGTAAAAATACCGAAGAATGTATATTTACAAACTTAATTTAGTAAAATATAGGTAAATTGTAAATGTTTAGTTTTTTAACCGACTTCAAAAAAGGAGGAGGTTCTCAATTCGACTGTATGTTTTTTTTTTGTATGTATGTTACGCGATAACTCCGGTATTTGTGAACCGATTTTCATGATTCTATTTTTGTTGGAAAGAGGGTACCTCCATAGTGGTCCCATTTCATTTTGAAGAAAACCATCCACCTCTAAGGGTGGCTGTTCACACATGAAGAGTAATTTTTATTAATAGCGCCTAAATTTTATTATAAGGAGCAATTATTTTAACGGTTGATTTTGCTATTCTCCAATTCAAGGCGTTGTTCTCTCTCAATATACTTTGAGTAGTGAGAACAGATTTTTATTATCTCCAGTGTCAAGTCCCGTATAGTGGCGAACTAGGGGATATTTCAATAAAATGTATATAATTCCACGTACGTTTGAGGTCGGTTTGTTTAGTACTCTGTACTGAGATTATTTCTATTTAAAACGGATATTTGACCATTTGTCACTTAGCCGTGGTATTTTAGTTAGTGAACGGCGGAATACTCGAATAGTAAAAAAAAATTAATTTAATAACTGCCTCCGTGGCCGAACGGTTACCATGCCGGACAGCCACGCAGAGGTCCCAGGTTCGATTCCCGGGCCGGGAGAAATATTTGTATGGCCTACAGTTATTTCTCTCGTGAGTTTGGGTGTAATTTGTGGTTATCTATGTGTGTGTCCATGGCACCGCGACACAGGGTTTCTCTAGTGCGGGGCTATGTTGAGTGTGTGCGTTATTATTATTATTATTATTATTAAAAGACGGATGATGCGAATGAAGTTTCATGCTCGATATTGTCTTTTAATTAGGTTGAATAGTCCTTATTTGTATTTGTAATTGTTTCGGACGGAGAAACACCCCCCAGAATCTGGGCAATGGGTTAAAACCTAATCAACTTGCCCAATAAAATCAGGCTCTCTCTATCTGAAACTATATTAAACTTCCTTTGTTTCTGCTACAAATAAAAGAACTTGATTAAAATATCATGTTTTCACCGCCTTGCCCATAAATAAAAAACTCCAAATTTTGGAATTGAAAAAAAACACGATTTGTAAGTTCAAAAAGTGAAACTGAATGTAACTAATATATATTCTCGTTTACAAATGGATAACTAAATATTATGAATAAATAAAAATAATCACATTATTCCCAATAAGAACCCTTCAATTATTTTTTCATGTGCGAAATATGGAACCCAACTTTTGAATTTTCAAGTTTATTGAATGTCACAATGTTTAACTATCATGATATTAAATTATTTTTTGGTGAAATTACTCTACTAGTTAAATAATTACTAATAACAAAGATCGAATACTTAGAAAAATTCATTCGACCCGGCTGAGTTCGATCCAGCACCCTTGAACAAACCGTGCCAGTGATCTGGCAAATGAAGCCACGGTACGAACCCAGCAGACCTTATGAATCTTTCAATGTGCTTCCTGCAGATCTTTGTTTTTCATTGTTAAAGTGTGAGATTTTACAACAAAAAAATATACCTGCATATAAACCTGAGTAGGTTTATCCGTGCACCTCAATTCATTGATGGAATCTCTGTAACGAAGCTAGCAAACCCTATTGTTTACTTGCAACATGCCAACCTATTACTTCTATAAATATCACCCAAGTATACTTATAAGGCGATCGAATAAAGATGCAAATAAACAAGAAGTACCTTCGACATAGTGTCATCAATTATAAATAAAATATCCTATTCATTTGTTCCAATTATAGTCACCGCTGGAGGACAAAGGCAAAGGGGCAGTGATCTCGAATCAAAATAATACGGTACATTATTTTTCATTATTAACATCTACGTTAGCTAGTCTATGGCTGCTAAGTTCTGGCGTCAACGCCAACGGCGCCGACCAGATGTCGTCGGTTGCGTACGGAAGAGATCGGAAATTCTTAGAAAGCCAAAATAGTCATAGTATATATTGGTTGTCCTTGATATCGACATTTTTAAGTTGGTCAAGTTTCAGCGATTCGTGGAGAAAAGTTAATTGTATTGATGGCTTAATTACCTCCTAATTTGTCTTTAAATAAGAATAAAATGATGCCCTGTATTAGATTCAGCTTTATTGCGACCCCGGAATACCATTTTCGTTGAATAATTATATGTATATATACATTTAAAATGTTGAACTACATTTAACTGCTCAATTTAAGTTTCACTGTATAATTGAATCAAATTTAACTATTCAATTGGATTGAATTTAACTATGCAATTGAATTGAGTTCCAGTTGTTTTGCACTGTTTAATTGGTTTAATTTTTAATTGAATTTAACCGTTTAATAATTTACATATTAAATTAATTGTCTTTTTTATGTTCCCCAGGGTATACCAGTGGACAAGTCACATCCAAACCAAGCTATATCAAAAAATAAATTAATAGGTACATCATCACTAATTGGTACCCCCTTCTTCCCAGGTATAGGGCAAGTTAAGCCCATTGTTGGGCAAGCGATTTTGTCCCCTGACAAAGTGGATCAGATCGGTCAGAATCAGATTTTTCCGTCAAGGTATTAGGAATCAAGTAAATTATCCACGCATCAATAAAGTTTTGTTATAACTGGTCGATTCACTGTGTAACTCCTCTGCTTTATAACATCTCATTGTGAAAAACGTATGAAGACTTAAGAACACTCATACAGGGCCACTATTTTGCTAATTTTCTTGAAGCCACTCGGCATTGTAGTTCTATTGAGGTTCCACTGAGATCATGGGCATATGCGTGGCGCATTGGATCTAAATTCTGTTCCACTTATAAAGTATAACTCCACGCCTATAGCTTATGCACCCACTACAGCTAATTTTATCTACTTTTAGATTGTAATTTGGCTTGGTCACCTCATATTAATGAAGTCAGTCGAAAAGTCCATTTCTCTTTGCACTCGCTTAAAGGGTCTCCAAAACTTTTAAATTTAAGATTTATTTGGCCCAATCTCTTATTTTACCCTTCTTAGATTATGCTGATTCCTGCTATTTGGATGCTACAGAGGCCCTGCTAAATAAGCTTGAACGGTTGCAAAATCTATGTACATCAGGTTTATCTTTGGCCTTCGTAAATTTGACCGAATCTCACGCTGTCGTAATCAACTCAAGTGGCTCCCCATTCGTCTCCGCAGGAATTTGAATGTTGTCACTGTTTTGTACAATATTCTCCGTAACCCTTCGTCTCCCGAGTATCTGAAAGAGCGTTTTAGCTTTCTCAGGTCTCAGGACCACGGATTTATATACTTCTTAAACTGGATCGCTCCCTTCGATATACCAATATTACAAATTTACACCTTATTGGGTTACGTTAAGGTTTATTTTAAGTAAAAGTAAAAAACCGAGACACGTGAGATAGCTCGAAGCAGTGGTCAACCCTTGTCTAACAAGTTGCCAACGCTAAATAAAATTTTCTTAGGTAAAGTCTAGTCTGAACTTTTTTAAATATTGGATATATGGTAAATGCCTTTACTATAATACAAAAAAATATATTAACAATGGAATGTGTTACGTAGTCTATCAAATAACTATACCAATTTGTATTATGAAATAATATTAGTAGTTTTGGTCAGCCATAAGCGGCCACATTTTCTGTAAAAATTAAAAAGTAAAAAACAATATGGCTGGCTGAAAGATGAATGAAGACACTATTAGAAAGAGACGCATTACTACTTTGAAACCTCTCACTCGGCTTAACTTAGTGCGCGGTCCAGTTTAAAATATAAGTCTGTCGCTCTCTCGTTAGGTCCCAGTTATCTTTTCTATCCCTCAATTCCGGTTTTTATTCTCACTCCTTCACTGTTCATGCGGTCAGACTTTTGAACGCACTTTCTATTTCTGTTTACGAAAGTACATCATTAGTTTCTTTTAAATTGAGAGTTAAGGAGCATTATTTATCTACTGTTCCTGTGAAACATGTATTTATCTAGTTTATAACAGTTTAATGTTATTAATATTTTATTACATAATTTTCTTTTTTCTGAACGTAAGCTCGTTAATGCAGTCATTTAGTCCTGTATTTAGTCTGCAGGAAGAAATTTCTTATAGAAATAAGCAGTACCTTTTGTTTGTGTGTTCCTTTTATTAAATGTATTCTGTGCTTTTTACTGTGCAATAAATATTATTTTTTAACCGACTTCAAAAAAGGAGGAGGTTCTCAATTCGAATGTATGTTCTTTTTTTTTGTATGTATGTTACGCGATAATTCCGGTATTTGTGAACCGATTTTCATGATTCTTTTTTTTTTGGAAAGGGGGTACTTCCATAATGGTCCCATTTCATTTTGAAGAAAATCATCCACCTCGAAGGGTGGCTGTTTACGCATGAAGATTCATTTTCAAAAACGCGCCTAACATTAATTTAGGAGCAATTATTTTAATGGTTGATTTTGCTATTTCTCCTTTCCGTTTATTCAAGGCGTTTTTCTCTCGATATACTTTGAGTAGTGAGAACCGATTTTTATTATCTCCAGTGTCAAGTCCTGTATAGTGGCGTGTTACAATATGGATACGTGCGGGGATTAGCGGGATCGTTGGGTTAGTTTAACTAGCTCGGTAAGCTTAGTTCGCGGTGCGAACCGAAAGATGTATAGATGCCCCGGCTACGTGAGTTAAGTTGGCTTAGCGTCGTTCGCGGTGTGCCCTGCGCTTTAATGGTTTCAAGAAAATTAGCAAATTGGGGCCCTGGACAATTTATATTGGTAATTTGCAGTTGGACATGAATTCGGTTTTTTATAATGCTCATTATAATTATTTTTTCTAGCCAATATTGTTAACATATCACATTTGAGGACCTCTCTGTGGTCGAATGGCTTGCTCAAGTTTTCATGGTGTTGCCATCTCTGAGGTCCTGGGTTCGATCCCCGGAAAACTTACTTTTAGTAGTAGCCGACGGCAGCTGCGGAATTCCGTGGAAGACGCGTGACGTGATTGTTGGCTCGTATCGAGTTTGTACATTTGACCATAAAGTTCACCATGCTATGTACAATATCGTTACAAAAATTCTCTTCCATTCCATTCTGCAGCAATATAAATTGAGCCTTACTTTGGGATCAGAGCAACGTGTATGACGTCTAATTTTTTAATTTTATTTATTTATTTACATATTTTGTACACGTACTGTAGTTGGTTTTTGTATTGTCTATGAGATATTTATACATAAAAGACGTCCATAACTTTGTTGGTTAAATAAACAAATGAAAAAT